ATATATATATATATATATATATATATATATATATATATATATCATACTCATAAAGGTTTAAGGACAAAATAATTTGTTTTCAAAAGTATTTAATAAACATCATCATTAATCACTAGATATAATTTTGACACCGATCCAACACAAATGCGGAAGGCCTTTTAAGTGTACGTACAGGCCCAAATTCATAGTTAACTTTATTTTTAAACTACAAAATAACAATTAAATTTTTTATAGTACCGTGCTAGTGTTGCAATGGATATTGGGTCCACAATAGATTTAACAATAGCATATTATCAATGCAGCATTAGTCGAGCTACATTTCCAATTGTTTTAGAGCAAACATTTCAAAGAAGTTGTAATAAAATTGCTTAATGCTATTTGCTGATGTAGGTCATGTTGGCTATCATAATAGCAATGTTAACCGTTCTGACTTGGCACTTCACAAAGCAATATACAACAAAATCTCTAAATAGTTTAGCCTACGGCCTTCGTTATGAGCTCCTCCAGAGACCAATATTAAGAATGTGGAATATTCTAAATTCCACAGTGGAAATAACTATTGCACAAGTCAAGCTTTCTGAATATGTGATAGGCCGTCATGGAAACTCAATCTCCCAATGGCAGCAAGGCGAGGTAGATTTATATTTCCCAAGGTGTTGGTCATTACTTTTGAAGGCTGAATTTCCAAAATTTCTAACATTGACATAACCTATTGTTTGAAAATTTTGGCTTGTACAGCTATATCAGGAGATGAGGCAGATAACATGGGCTCTTTTTGCAAGCAGAAAAACTCTAAATTCTATCACAGTAAGTTACAAAAGTGGCTTTTCCCAGGCATTTCAGCGAGATCGCAAGAATAACAACACATTCTACATATATTCTGCATCAGTAAGTTACTCGGTTAACCACACCAAAGAAAGGGAAGTCATGGAGGATTTTTCTACAGCTCAAAATGTTAATAGCTCAGAGATATGGTACAGGGTTCCACTAGACCCTATCACAGGAGAAAGGATCGGTAATCCTCAACAAATATCTTCAGATAAACTCATAAGTATAGCAGGACAACAACAAATCCATGATGGTACAGCTTCTTGGCGTGTTGCAGTGAGTAAATCCACTGAATCACCACTGCTTTCAGCAGCATTACCAGTAAAACATCCTTCTAAAGGAAGCATAGAAGCAGTTGTTGGAGTTACCACAGCACTAAAAAGCGTGAGCCAGCTGATGAAAGAACTTGTAGATATCCATAGTGGCTACATGTATCTGACTACTAGGGAAGGCCACGTCCTTGCTACATCGACAGACGCACCACTCCTAAAGAATACATCAAATGGTCTAAAGCTCATGATGGCTAATGATTCAGACGATCAAATTATAAGGTCTGGAGCTAAGTGGTTGCAAAACACATATGGAGATAAATTTCCCATGAACAATGAAGTTCATGCTACAAATGTTGATCTGCGTAATCAGACATACTACATAGACTCCTTTTTCCTAAACTTAAAGAGGCTTCCATTGGTAAGAAGAGTTTATCTACCACCATATCACTATTTCAAGAAAAATAATGTTAAACCTTTTTCATAGTACATCTTTTGGTAGACTGACATTTAAAACAATTAAACTTGCATCTCATTTCATTGATGTGCCCAAAGAATTTATTAGTTATATTTCAATGAATTTTGTGTGTGCAAGTGTTTTTAACAGCTGACATTTCAGAAAAGGTGATCTTAAATTTAAAAGGTTCAAAATGAAGTCTATTGGCTGAGTACTCATCCCTTTGATTCAAACATAGATGAATGGTATAAATTCACCAAAAGACTAAAATATCTAGTTCACTTGAATGAAAGGGACCAAAAGCTGTTGAACTCCGTAGCTGTTTCACAGGTCGACTTGAACAGACTTGGTAAAAAATGGCAGCTAATGGATGATTGTCATGCAAAACTATTTTAGAATGCCCCGCTTGCATAAAAAATAACCAAACATTGCACATTTCATGAAATATACTATGCCAATGTGCTCGAAATATCAAAATTATTAAAGAAAGACCTATGGCCCAGTTAATTTAATGTGATGATAACGAAGGATAACAAGTATAGTATCACGTAAGTCTAGTTCAAAATGCCTCGATCTTGATAAAAATTACTACAAAAAAGCCGTTGAACCTGATGATAATCCACTAGATACATGAAAATGCTTAGGAGAGAAAAAAAATTTGGCTTACAAAAATTTTCAATACTACTTTGAACACTAAAAGGATTACAGATGAGTGGAGGAGTGGGTTGATTCATATTTTTATGAATAAAGGTGATGCACAAAAGTGTGCAAATTATAGAAGAATCAAGTTAATGTGTCATACTTTAAAACTATGGTAAAAAGTTATTGAGCATAGGTTACGATGTGTTAATAATATTTCTCAAAATTAATTTGGATTCATGTCGGATAGGTCTACTATGGAAGCTATACATTTATTGAGAGGTTTGATGGAGAAGAATAGAGAGAATAAGGAGGATCTACATATAATATTTTATGATAAAGTTCCAAGAGAAGTGTTCAGAGTGTTCTAGAAAAGAAAGGGATTAATAATACTTATATTCAAGTCATGAAGGATGAGTATGTAGGAGCTATTACTTGTGTTCAAACAAAAGGTGGTTTGACCAAGTATTTTCCTATTCCAGTTAGATTACATCATGGATCAGTTTTAAGCCCGTATATTTTTTCTTTAGTCATGGATGTTCTTACTAGAAATTTATAAGAGGATGTACCCTGTTGTATGCTTTTTGCGGATGATATTCTTCCTATTGATAAGATTATAGAATAAGTTGAAGGTAAACTTAAATTATGGAGGTTAACCTTACAGTTTAAAGGTTTTCGTTTGAGTAGATCTAAAACAAAATACATGGAGTGTAATTTAAGTAGTTATAGATCTAGTATGTGTGTATGTGTGTGTGTGTGGGGGGGGAGAGATTGTGTCATTGGGTGATCAAGTCATTAATAAAAGTATATGTTTTAGATATCTCGAGTCTATTGTTCAAAGTTATGGTCAATAGATTACCCCTCAAACTAAGGGAAAATTCTATAAGATGGTGAGACCTACAATGCTTTATGGCGCAGAATGTTGGCCATAAAGGAGAAGTATAAAATTAAGTTAAGTGTTGTAGAGATGAGGATGCTCAAGTGGATGAGTGGCTTCACTTTTATAGACAGAATGCGAAAAGAGTATATACGTGAAAAAATTGGAGTAGCTCTTGTGACAGATAAGATTAGCGAGAGTCATCGGTTTGGTCACATAAAACGTTGGCGTTCTGATGACCCGATTAGGAGAGTAGATGTACTAGATTTGGCCTATGTTAAAAAAGGTAGAGATAGACCTAAAAAGACTTGGTAAGAAAATATTAGAAATTATCTTTTTTTATTAAATTTAAATGAGAATTTAACTCTCAATAGGACACAATTGAGAAAAAAAAACATTCTTTTTGCTGACCCCATTGACCTACATAATAAATACGAGCGGAAAGGAATGAAATCGGCAAAAAAAAAGACAGTCGACGCACGTGACGCATCACTTGAATGGTCAAACGATCTTCAATCGTCGAACGGGGTTACAATCAGAATATCAAATTCTCTTAATCGGAAGCCCTCACAACCAAATCGAATGAGACTGGTCGAAATTGATGACCGACGCCTGAAAAAGATGCGCAACACTGCCCAAATGACGTTCGATCGCAAAACGGACTTCGTCATTTCGTCCAGAACGTCCGAGAGAAGGACAATACATTCGTTCAATGGAAATCGTGTGACGAAATCGACATAGATCTTGAGACGACAACATGCGAATTTAGAGAAATTGCACGGAGATCGAGGCGAAATTCTCTGTTGTCAAATTTTTTTATATTTTAATAATAATAATAATTTTTTATGATTATTAAAATTAAAAAAAAAAAGGAAAAAATTAAAATTTCAAATCAAATTAAACTTACCTTACCTCGTTGGACATTCGGCCCCACGTCAACGGCGAGCTTCGCACACCATTCATGTTCTTTATTCGTTCCTTTCCCACGATCTTTGCATCGTCGGCCTGTCCTCCTTGCACGATAGTTGTTGTATGCTCGATGATTAAAGATGAACAAGCTCCAATCTTCGACGTTGTTATCCGACTGAGCTCGCTTTCGCCCGTTGTTTCTTCTCTTCATATTCCTCACAACCGCTTCTGCATTGATAAAACTCCACAAATCAAGCTCTATTTGTCTTTGCTTTCACGGTTGCAAGCCACCTAACATCTCAATCTCACGGTCGGACCCTTTCCCTCAAATCACAAACACCCATCGCTTTGTCCTCACAACTTTGACTATTCTAAACCCCTCCAAACAACCAACTTTCAAACTTAATATGTCTTGTTGCCCGATCGGCGCCTCCTATGTTCGATTCAATAACTTATCTTGCGGGGAAGCTCCTCCATAGCAGCCCTTCGTTCATTTACACGCCCGCAAATCCCGATCTCCCTAATTCAATTCTTGCTCTGCCCGATTCCACCTATTGTCGCAAACTCCACGCATACCTCACGATCCCGCCAACCAGCCCTTTAGCCGCATATAGCTGAAGCCAATCTCCCGCACTCTCTTGTCTCCTTTCTCTATTCAAATACCCCAACCACACTTCTCCACCAAGCCGCAAGCTCCGATCTCCTTCCTTGCCCTCTCGACCACTTCTTCCTCTCATGATGCAGAACCTACGCAAATTGAATCCCCTATTCGAAGCTACCATCGATTCTGACCCATCCCCAGCCGCAAACTCCAACCATCTGATCTCGCAAGCAAAAGTTGATTTGCAACATATGCGTAGAGTTTATACAACTGATGCAAGCACCCACAAACTACTATGGGGGACCCGTCATGCATAATATATGCTATCTATGGGCAAATATAGAAGAGCTATAGTAAATGCAAGTACCGACATGCATAATTGAAGAACATACGGTGTACATAGCATTTTTCCTACAGAAAGTAGCAAGTAATCTGTATCAACACTTGCAAATGATAGCACTACCCACATACAGGTACAGGCAGCATGCAACAAATATCAGGGTATTCATATATGCAACAACAATCAAGCCTTCAATAAGCAAGTGTGGCAAAGCCTTCAAAAAGCAATGTCCCCTACAAATACCTAGAAGCAGTGATGATAGACATGCTGCAAGTATGGTAGGTCCCTTGCGAGCATAGATGCATGTGCAATGTGCTACTGACAAGCATAAACTGAAGATGTGCAATGAACGTAAGCATTTGCTAATTATGACGAAAGAGCTGCCATAAATGTGCAGCAGTGACAATCAACAACATGCAACAAGTACCACGGCACCCCTGCAGCTGATAGCCACGTAGATGAGAAGCGCATTCACTTCATATCAGAGCTAAAAGTTTTGTTGATCAAGTACAACTAAGTCCTCCAAATGATAATCCCAACAGACTCTGATAGTGACAATTGGGTACAAAGACAACTCGATGTACGAAGGAAAAATGCTGATACATTATCAAAGGAAGACTCCAAATGTGTCACGAGGCATATAAAGTTAAATGATTTTGCAGAGTCAAAGAATGATCAGTTGAAGAAATGTTTCATATTATCATCTCTGTGGAAATACTGAAGACTTCCAGCAACAGCAAGTATCTACGAGCTGCTATAAGAAACCTGCTAATGTGCACCAGAAGAAGTCCCCAATTACGACATTAATGATGCAAAGTTGAATTATTTTATGAATGATTTTATAAAGTCAAAGAATGAGCAGTTGAAGAGAAAAAAGTATCTTTCTATCTGCAAGCTGCATTTTAACGCGTAGATTGTAAATGAGCAAATTAAGAAAAAATGGGTCACTAAAAAGAATGTTCTTATCAACTATCATTATGTTAGTCAACAACTTGAATAGTCCTCATTGTCTCAAAAGGCAAGAGTCATTGTCTCGCTGCCTCAAGAGACAGGAGTCATTGCCTAAGAAATTCAATCTCAAAAGTTCCTAGCATATGGGGAAGCAAGTGTGGAAGCCAAAGCCTCATTAAAAAAAAAAATCCTATTGATGAACACCAATGCAAGAAATATATGTTGAAGCTAAAGAAAAGTATAGTTCTTTAAGTGTGAATAATTTTTTTATCTCCAAAAACAAGGCACAATGATTGAGGCGTTCTACCTTGGATATACTAAAAGGTAGTCAAAATAAATGATTTCTAGACACTTAAGTAAAACAAGCAAATTTGTACGTGCACATGCCTTGTCGTAAAGCAAATAGTTTGAAGAACTGAGCCCCTTGTGTCTCTTGGTAGAAAAGTTGAGGTCTTAAGCAATACCGTAGAGTTTATAGATAAATGAGGAAATATATCCAAATATGCCATGCATAAGGCTCAGCAGAAAGAAAAATCACTAATGTTGTCTCAAATTGCATCATTAGATCTACTTCAACTTTTCTGCATCCTTTCCAGGATTTTATAACTCTTCATAATGTAAACGTTCTCCAGGTAGGTGTCATAATCATTCCAAGAAAATACATAATGGGAAAGGTTGATCATATAGGCTTTACAACGATGGTGATATCAATATGTGCAGCCATATGTACTCTTGCTATAGGATGTGTTTGCATTATGATATTGACAAGTGGTGTCTCAAAAGCAATGAAGCTAAAAGCTGCACTTATAAGTCAACTAGATGCAAGAAGACGAGCGGAGGCATCAAGCAACTACAAAAGTCAATTTTTAGCAAACATGAGGTACGTGGAAAATTAAATTGATGTGGCATAAAAAAATATCATGTATAGAATTGGGAAATGGTCTCCATATAATTGTCTGCTTATTTTGCCAAAAGGCAGCTTTTGACTTATAGATCACCTACATGTATGGATTTCGGAAGATTTTGGATGCAGTAACTCGCATCAACCTTCCACTGTTTTTAACTATTTCTTTGGTCCTTTTCTACATTAGCTGTACCTTAGTAGAAGATTAAAGTATTAAACTAAACCATCCTAAAAGACTAAACATGAAATACCAAAGTGCTATTTCTAACTCCAATTAAATATTTCAAACCTGCTTTCACATTCCAGTTAAGTTTAGAAGTACTTCATCAACATGTATCTAGAATGATCTCCACCTTACTGTTTTGATTCAATACAAAAGCCATGAACAGCGAACACCGGGATCATATAAATAACATTAGACAATTGCTATCAGCCTATCAGGAAGTTAAATGAAAATCAGTCTGAAACGGTCAATTGCCAATAATGGTTATTTTTGCTATGAGATAAAAAGTAGATCGAGTTAAACTTTGGTATGGCTTTCACTCTCTTGCTAACACCAGCAAAGATTGTGGAGACTTTGAAGAACCATGCAAGGTTACTATCCTCCAACAGTGAATGAAAAGAAAAAAAAACTCAATTTTCTTTTATCTCAGTCATGAAGGTTAGAGTTAAGTAACTCTGTTTTGTTAATAGCTGAGCATCAATAGAAGATTAAAATAAAGCATTCTAAAAATTGTGAATAAGAAATACTTGAACGATATTAGAAGCCAACAAGGCTATTTATTAAACAGTAGTCCTAGTTGCATGTTCCAGTTCATTTTAGAAATTTCTGATCATGAAGCCAAACTAACTGCTTTTGACTCAATAATACAGCCATGAACTGCGAACACCTATGGCTGCAATCATAGGGCTGTTAGACATTCTCATGGATGAAGACTGCCTCACCAATGAGCAACTAGCAACAGTCACACAGATTCGAAAGTGCTCAACTGCTTTACTACGGCTCCTCAACAACATCCTGGATCTCAGTAAAGTAAGAATGACGAAATTTAGAATGGCACTAGAACTTTATGAACTTACGAACAATCTATACTTTTCCAAACATGCACAATAATTGTTTTTTCAATTGATGTCTTGCTCATCAAATTAAAAACATGGCATTATTGCTAAAATATCATTCTAGGTTGAATCTGGAAAACTAATCCTTGAGGAAGCTGAATTTGACTTGGGAAGAGAACTCGAAGGAATTGTTGACATCTTCTCTGTGAAATGTGCGAACCAAAAAGTGGACATCATACTAGATCTATCTGGTAAGCTAATGTATGTCTTTAAAGTTCACAGATCCAAGTAAAATATTCAGCAAGTATAACATAGTGACAAAAGAAAGATCATCATCAAGTTACATATGTTTGAGTCAACTAGTTCAATTCATAAAAAAGCACCAGGATATCCCAAATAATCCTACCTTCTAGTATTATCGCTTCTATTCTCCAGCATCCTAAATACCAGTGTATAAAATTGGAACTATTTTGTTTCTCGCAATCAACCATATCCCTATTTTCCCTAAAAAAACAGTGAAGAGAAAACCTGTCAATTTAGTTAAATCCTAAACCATGAAGTGCGTTAGGCTGTGTTAAAATAATTTGATCTTTCCTCAGCACTTATCATATTGCATTTGGTAATTGGAGCTATTAGTGAGTGGTGCACATTTATTTGGTATTACCTTACAACATTATACTTGTTCATCTGTTTATAATAGAGGGGTATTTTAGTGAGTAAGAGCTTTCCCATTAACATGGTAACAAACTTGTAGATTTTATGTAAATGGTATCTGCTGTTAGGTAACAAGGTTTATAGAGGCTCAGAAGAGTTTTTATGAATGCATGAAAAAATATTTAACAGATACATAGTCTATATTAACCTGGTAAATCAATGTTGGTGAGGAAATTCAGCTCCACATCTAATAATAAGATCATTCTAAATCTAATTCTTTGCATGCCTATAGATTGAGCCTGTTGATACTGCATTGACTTTGGTTAAATTCCAATAAAACGGTTAAATTTAAAAGAATTGATGTATCATTATTTTTGCCACTTCAAAACCCGTCGTGATAGTATAATCAATTCCTAGGGTTGTTCAACTAAAATATAAAAAAATAATAATAAAATAAAATTCCTAGGGTTGCATCAATGGGTAAACTATACAGCATGAATGATACTTATCAGTAATTCCTAATAGAATGCTCAGATGTATTATTCGTGATCTCTTTTTTTTTTTCAATTAATTGATCATATTAATTTGCATCTTTTTGTATCTAAGTCTTCCAATTTCTTGCAGATGATCTCCCAAATATTGTTAAAGGAGATTCAGCCAGAGTAGTTCAAATCTTTACAAATCTAATTAGCAACTCAAGCAAGTTCACATCTGGTTAGTACCTGACTAGTTTTTACAATTATTACCAGCAATTCTATATTGGCAGTGGAATATGAATAATTTTTTTAATATTTAAAAATTTGAAGTAAATTGCAATGTAATAGCACTCAGTAACATTACCAGCAATTCATAAAGGTATGTAAAGGTAAAAACATCTTTTTGAGTGTCACGACCCTGCCCAGATACTCGAATTAACGAGACAGGAACGAATAGTCAGACGGTTAATATATTTTTTCACAATTACACATAACAGTAACAACTAATATTCCTCAGACTCTGAAAAACTACTAACACTATTTATACATTGAATATGCATTTAAACATAAACACATTTTACCTGCTTTCATTTGAGCACTGTCTTCTGTAAATATACTCCTCTTTCTGTCAGTTTCACTTATCATGAGACTTAACTGAAAATGTTAGTTTAATAGAGTAAGTTTACAAAGTAAACTCAATGAATAATCATCATTAATATATAACATTATAACATTTAAAAATAAATGAAATACAATAGCACATTCTTTTTCTTATTTCTTATATAATATTAAAATATACATAACACTTGTATGTTACACATCCTTATAATATTTAGCATATGCATTTAGCATACTTATGTATTTCATACCTTTTTCTTTACCATACATTCATTTATGTTAACATTTGTACCATTTCCTTTCAATTTATATAGAAGCACCGTCAAAATGTACCAATAAAAGTACAATAATTTCCATTTCCAATTAATGTGCACGGGAACGTTGCTCCCCAAGCCAATACCATACAAGAGTGAGCTCTTGTAGTTTGCATGCATATACCTTTTCCATTTCATTTATTTACGTCTGTTTCATATATATACATTTTAGATTTCTTTCTTTCAATATATTTCACACACACACACAAGCCAATACCATAAAAGAGTGAACTCTTGTAGTTTGCATGCATATACCTTTTCCATTTCATTTATTTACGTCTGTTTCATATATATACATTTTAGATTTCTTTCTTTCGATATATTTCACACACGCACACGCACACGCACACGCGCGCGCACACACACACACAATATATATTACCTTGTCCTTTTAAATGAATATATATTATCATATACCATTATGAATTTAATAATCTCTCAATCATTTGAAATTGAATAAATATTACAGAGGCTGTATAAAATAAAAATAGAATCATGTAATGTCTATTAAATAACAAAAATTACCCACTTTATTTACATTCTTCATTTTCCTTCCAAATCTCGAACTTGATATATACTTCAAATCACTTTTCTCAGTTCACTTATGAAAATCTTTCACTCAATGATTTTCTTCTCCTCCACTCTCAAACAAGATTTACTTTACCTGTATTCTTCACTTTCCACCTTCGTCAGAGATAGAAGACTTCTAAACTTTGAATTTGATCTCTTTATCCTCCAATTTCTTCCTCTTTTCCATTCCTCTTCCTCTTAGCCACTCCTCTCGACAGAAACTTTCTCACACGATAATGAATGTAAGGAATGAGAGGAAAAAAAAAAAGATAAGACTCACGAGGAGTCATTCTTTTTCACTCCTGTCCACGCTCTTCCGCTCAGAACCCCGAACCGACTCCATCTAGGATTTTGCGCACGCGGGCGGCATTGCTTGCGGTCTTCCTGGACTGCAATCCTCTCCTCCCGTTCAATTGTTCCGCTCTCTGTATTAAATAGAGTTCAATTCAGCTGAACTGACTGAACTGGTGTTTACAATGGGGATGAAGCATTTCCTGCCATCATGATAAATTAGCACAATACCAAAACACTGAACAAAGTGGAACATATGTTTTACAGAAATGAATACATTACTTCAGAGCTTGCCTATAGTGTAAACATTCCATTAAGATATTTATTGCAAAGTACTGAACAAGTTTAAAATAAAAATATGAAGATGAAGTACCTTGACATGTAAAGGAAAATGCATTATGAACTTTATGAAATATAAATGTTAGATATGGAATCACTATTAGAAAATGTAGGGGGCACGAGATAAATGATAAAAGCACAAGAAAAATACTATAACTTTTTTTATATTGTGAAGAGAGAGCATTAACTGTTTTGCTATCATCCATTAGTAGATCTTAATATTAGAGTTCAAATATCAAGCAAACATCCGAATAGGTTGATTGAAAAAAGTACAATGGAGTATAAGCAAGCCATTATTCACAAATATCTAATTATTTAAAAAATAAATAAAACACTTTAGTAAACCTTAAGAATTGAATGTTAACCTCCATATGCATCTCACATTCAATTGGTCTAAAGGCGACGAGAACAAGGGCCAACTAGCGCAATGTCGCATGAACTGGGTCCAAACTACTCAATCGCATTCCAAACACTCGAATGTCGTCCGCTTGCAAAACGGACTGTGCTGAAGCATTTGAAAATTGAAATGTTGACATTACCAAAAAAAACATCTCTCACAATCAATTCGATCAATCTCGGCCAAAATCTCGAACAACAGATATGATATCGGTAAAAAATTACTCGGACCCACACGTTTGCAAAAAGATCTGTGCCGATGTGTTAGAAACATCAAAAGTACTTTGGATAGATGCCTGTATTACTTGGGTTGTCATACAAAAGTGAAACACAAAATTTGCTTATACACAAAGCAATGACACCATTCAAGACACATGGAAAACAAAATTTTATGTGAGTTGACTCAAATAATTATTTCTACCCTCTTAGTTTTTTCTAAAAATAATAATAATTAAAAAAAGTAATATATATATATATATATATATATATGACCTCTACCCAAATATCCCCTAAATTCCGCTAACTTGTACATGGTAGCGTTGTTGGACATCTCGCCATTTTTCAAGTCTTGTCATTTAGTTGGTAGCGTACAAAAAAGGGTCCTGATCCCCAAAAAACAAACTCCAGGGACCTCTCTCCCTTGATCACTCCCAACAACGTAAATGACCGCCCATTCTCATGAGCTTCCCCTTCTCGTGTGTCGATCTCCCATACCCTTACAGGACCTACACAAATCCCCTCCATCTCACTCTCCCTACTACTTGCACTCAACAAGTCACAACCCCATTCTCCCTCTCTCATTGAGCTCTTCTCCTTGCTATTCCCATCAAAGTTTTGCCTCAACCTTTCACAATTCGGCCCATAGACTCGAATTAACAAGGCGGGAACGAACAGTTAGACATTTAATACATTTATTTCATATTCAAAACAATTTATCATCTCCATCCCATATAAAAATTGAAGGGCCACTAACACAACTTTCACATTTGAACATTTACATAAACCATGTTTTACCTGTTTTTGTTTGATCGTCATCTTCTGTAGACTTATTTTTCTCTTTCAACCATTTCTACTTATTAGAGACTTACCTGAAAATTTTAGTATTACAGTTTTAGTTTACATAATAAACTTAGTGGATAACCACCATTGATATATATAACATTTAAGCATATATAAAATACACATACATATTTTTTTTTATACAATTAAACATATATATCATTTTATATGTAGTACATCCTTGTAGTAAGCCTTTCAAATTAATTCAATTCCTTTCTGTTTCATTCATTTTTTGACATTTATTCCTTTTCCCTTTGAATTAGTACAGGAGCATCATCAAAAAAATTGTATTAAATCTAATTTGACTTCTAAGAAATTAACTTAGAATGTCATCCGTTAAAACTCTCCTCGAAAGAACAATGCGGAGAGGCCGGGGCCCAAAATTTCAGAGCTCACAATGTTATAAAGTAAAATAAAAAAAATGTATGGGTTCTGATTGGTCATTCCTAGAGTGGTTTCAGACTTTGAAAAAAGAAGTAAGAAACTGCCTGCAACAGACTAGAATATAATCATTTTTTAACAGAACTCGATTATGAACTTATCAAAGTAACTAGTGAACCACATTTCGTTACAATGTACAAAATTGACATCCAATTGCAAAGAAATATCACAATCACTCACACAACTACCTTGTGATTGGTGCTTCCAAAGAGCCAAAGCTAATGCTATTTTCAAAAGATTGGCACAGAACACAGGGAAATCAATCAGACAGTAAATAAAAAAACTAGCTCTTTATTGGTGCTTCTAACGAGGCAAAGCTAAAGCAATCTTCACAAATTTGAAACAAAACATAGGGAAAACCTTTCATTGCATAGAACCAGCATTTTAATATTATAATCAGAGAATGCTAATAGATTGCAATTTTACAATGAATTCTAGAGGGCCATATAATCCTGCGGGGATGGTGTACAACTGCAAAAAACTCCAGCAGTCCTGAGTGGCCTATGGGTCAAAAGATGCCAGCACATGCACATATCAAAAAGACAAAACAAAATGTAATTGATTTGAAAACAGACTCTGAGAAGAAGAATGCAATTGCTATTTGGTTTGAAGTTGAAGATACAGGATGCGGTATGTTTCTTCTCCCTTGCACATTTAAAAGCGAATGCAGCATTTTCTAACATGATTATGGATATCCTTTATCTAATTCTTGGCAGGAATAGATCCCAACAAATGGGAAACTGTATTCGAAAGCTTTGAGCAAGGTGACCCATCAACCACACGCACGTAAGAAATTAGAAAAAAAATTTCTTTGATTAACTAGATTCCAAATGTATTAAGTAATTTATAAATTAGTGTTATGACTGGTTGAGGCTCGGTCAATACAGCACTTTTCTATTGCTGCATATAGTTAAAGACCAAGCGGCACACAGATATAAATATCACCAAGTGAAAATGAAATCATAACCTTGCATACAAATAGGATATTTACTTAAGGTGTTTCACTGTTTTCAGGCATGGAGGAACTGGCCTTGGCTTATGCATTGTGCGGAACTTGGTAAGTCAAAATTTTAGGAACTAAACAGCCTATCCCATTCGCAACTTATTAAAATTTTTATATCAAATGAAGATAAGCATAAACTCCTTTTATTCAAGCAATGTGGATTCCACAGTTAAATAATAATAATAATTGTATATTTGTATTGTGGAAGGCATTACTATACTAGAAGGTCAATAAAGTCCAAATTGTTTTGCAGCTAATAAGTAGAGTAATGAAGAGAACCATGGTCAGTTACTTAACCACGAAACAATAAAATTGATTGTCATACTTCGAAGAGATAGGAAAGTTTCATCACTCCATTGTCATTGCTAGAGAGAATGTTTTTGTGTCTTGTTATTCAAATCTTCACATTTCTTGACATGTTTGCATATGAAGATAAAGAAATTTTACCGACAGAAATTCAGAATAATGAAACATATTTTCCTTCCAAAATCAAAGAAACAGTTACAAAAAAGTAATATTTCATCAATAACATGACGAGCACTTGTTTCATGCAGCAAAGAATTGAGTCAAAGTGCGCCTCCTGTACTTTTTTATGAAGTGGAAGTAAGAATTTGGGGGTTGTTAGAAACAATCCAAAGGATGATAAGCAGTCCCTATTTTAAAATTTTCAAAATTTAGCATAAAAAGGGGCAAAAAGAGATGACAATCATTTCAATTTCATGCCAAAGAATAATAGCTCGGGTGGCACCGACCCTTCTCCTTCCAAAGAGAATGTGAGAGTAAAAAACCCTAAAAAAAATTCAGTTTCATGTCATATTATTAAATTTGAAAATAAATGTGCTTGTTGTTCTTAAGCTATTAAACTTCAGATAGCATTTCTGCCATTAAAGAGAAATTTCCATTTTGACTAGGGAAACTGATCTGTATTTTGCAATTTTAAATAATATTCAATTGACGAGTTCTGCTTCATTTTTTTATTTAATTCTGTTTATCAATTTAATAGTTTAAATTGACATGTTAATACATTCAGGTTAACAAGATGGGCGGAAAAATAGAAGTTGTGAAGAAAGATAGTCCTGGGACTTTAATACAACTGTACTTAGTACTTGGAATCTCAGATGGCGACAGAGGAAAGAACATAAAGCCAGAGTTCAGCAAGCACAGGTTCACGGTGAGTGTATTACAAATTAGAAAACTTAATGGTCTACTTCTAGAATCTTAGTTAAACCAAATATTAGTTTTGCATGTCAATGATTCCTCTTCATAAAAATCGCAAAATGATCAAGCAAGGAGCAATTTTCAACCATCAAGGAGCAATTTTCAACCAAAACAGAAAAATGCTCAAATGCTTCTTGTTGTGATCCAGCCCAATTACATGCTATATCAATTTGGGAACAAACAGTTGAATGCTATTTAAATTTCTTTCAAACAATAGTTAAAACAATCTAATAAAATATCATCCAAATTTTACAAAGAAACACTAATTATCAATCACAATTTTAAATATATAAAATTCAGATTTACTCCAAACTTTTCCAAAACAATTGAACTAGAATCAAATGCATAGGATCTCTATATAGCTACTCACATTCACTAAACTTCTTCTATATACAAAATTTTCATGTAAGCCATCTTATCTATAGGAGTCTTACCTGAAATATTTCATTTAATGCATTAAGTTTTACACATCAAACTAAGAAACTAATTATATATATATATAATAAGTTAACCTTAATAATCATTAAACTTTTCATTTATGAGAATTTAAGCATGTGAATTTGGTAAGATAAAAGCATCATTTTATATTGTATTTGTCAAATTATAACTTTTAATGAGTAAAAGCTCGAAATAGTCCTCCGGCTATCAATAAATGTTTAATTTAGTCACAAAGTTTTGCATTGCCCCATTTCAGACTCTCGACTATTAAATACTGAGCAAATTCAGTCTCAGAGCCTAAAATAAGAGCTAATGTTAACTCCAAAGTTAAATATAAAGGATACTTTAGGTATTATAAGTGGATGTCGATATTAAATTGCTTAGTTGGCTCAATTTTATCATTATTAGAGTGTCTTGAGTTACTGAGGCTAGTCTCTAAATTACAAGTAATTAAACATACTTTATATATCATTCATTTTCAACCTTCTTTCTTGTGCTTTCGCACAATCAAAAATAAAATATACGTATACTCAGAAAATAAAATGGTCTTCCAACTCGTACAATTACCAAAATATGGAGATAGTGCTTGATTTTTTAGTTGTATTGAGGCTAACCATTCATCAAAGAATTTTAAAAACATATCATAACTCCTTTCCTTTTCCATATAAGTGCCTTGCCATGCTGCTCAACTATAGAGTACAAAAAAATCTTTGTATATTAAAAGCTCCAGCTTAATTTCAAAAGCCAAACCCGACAGCCTCATCGTCGCCTGTCTCGCTCATTTAAACGGTTAGGGACCAAATTAGCTCAATTTCTAATAATTGAGGGACTAAAATTGGGCAATGCGAAATTCTTAAGAGTAAATTGAACATTATTGATAGCTGAGGGACTATTTTGAGTTTTTACTCAACTTTTAATATAACACTTGTTCCACGAGCATCCTCTAAAGTTTACACTAATTAGGGCACAATCATTTATATTTTCTTTTTTAAAAAAATAGAGTCGGGTGCCTTATGTATAACCCCTACTAATGCTTATCTCATCAAGTCTTTCGTCTCCCCTATATAGATTATCATTTGCTAGTTTATCCCCAATAATGTGACTTCTCATAAACTTTTTATATTATCAAAAGCATTCTCTTTACCAGAAGTGTAGGGGTGTCAATTAGTGACAAATCGAAAACCCGACATGGAAAATCTTGGTTTGGATCAATCCGATAAAGAAACAGGTCAAGTTCGGGTGGTCCTATTTTTGGGCCAATTTATAATTCGGGCTAGGTTCAAGTCAACCCGAATTGACTCGTGCCTAAACCCCGTCCGACTACTCCCGCACCATGCACACAACTCACGTGATAGCTCACTCGCCCGCGGCCCTACACACAACTTACTCACACCGCATGGCTCGCGCAAGCCGCACTCGCGCATTCACCCGCTCTGCCGCTCGCACCCAAGCGCTCGCCCGCTAGGTTGTTCACACCCACGCCCTTGCCAGTTCATATTGTAATTGCGCATCTCGCAATCTCGTAGTTGCGGTTTCATAGGACGAGTCGAGTCAACCCGGAAACCCAGTGGGTTAGTTCGGGTCTGAGTTTTTGACCCGTTTACAAAACCAGTTCGGGTCTGCTATCGAACCTGGGTGGGTAAAATTCTGGTTTCGACTCAAACTTGACCCGAATGCCCATTTTGACACCCCTACTATAGTGACTTGTTGAGTATGAATTTGTAACTGATAACAATCAAACTATATTGGCACGTGTCTAGATTTTTATTCTCTCACACACTATTCATGAAAAGAGTCTTGGAAATATAATGTAAAAGAGAGAAACTGATGCGTTTTGGAAGTAAAAATGACAAATAAAAGAGAAGAACAACATAGGAACACAAAGATAAAACTGATTTTCTTATTTATCCTTCAATAATAAAGCAAGATACAATTGATCTACCATTTAAGAGGTAGATTAGCTCTCCCACAAACCCTAGACCCCATTAGGAACTCACAACAAATACTAGGAAAATAAACTCAGTCACATCATATCCTAAACCATGACAAACTCCCCCTTAAATAGCCCTAGAATAACAATAACACAATTAGAACATTCCTAATCAAAATAAACATAATTTAGCAACCTTCCTAAACAATTATATACGATTTAGGAAACCTTCCTAAAAAATTAAACATGATTTAGGAAACATTCCTAAATAACTAAATCTATTTTAGGAAACATTCCTAAACAATTAAAAACTTCATAAATAGTATAAACACAATCAGGAAATTTTACTAAACAACTCTCTCTTGATTAGAAATCTTTCTAAACAATTCCCCCTTAATTAGAAACCTTCCAAAACAACTCTCTTGATTAGGAACCTTCCTAAACAGCTCCCTTTTAACTCCTTACATAATAAATGATAGCTACCTCGGCCTAGCTATGAGCCCTCTTGGCATATCAATACTTGTTTCCCATCGGCGCATCCCTTCTACTTCCAGGGGCTTCAAAATGATCTCTATGTCCTCTATCAAAGTAAGGGGTAGTGAAGACGAAGTGTAATCTCCTATCGCACGCCTCAATGACTTCTTAGACTTCGGGCATGACTGACATGGAGAATTTGATGGCTGAGGTCTTTGGTGGCTTGAAATGCTACTAGAAGAAACCACAAAAGAGCTTGTAGCTAACAGTGTTCAATTCTTTCTCTTCAGAGGGATTGATTGCAAAGCGCTCTCGATGTTTGGAGAAGATGATTTAGGTGAGACATTCTTCGAACTTGTTGGCTTAGAAAGTTCCTTCAACATGATCGGTGGAGATGAATTTCTCCATGGTCTTTGAGAGAGACTTACAAATTCTGGCTTAACCATAGCCTTAATGGATCTGGATGTCATTGCTGCTTTGTTCTGCTCCAGTGTCTCATGCGTCACCTTAAATTGTGATTGTTTTGCTGCACGGTTTCTAGCATTCTCAGCTCGAAGTTTCTCACCCCTTTTCTCTTTATATTGGCTATAAAACCCCCCTTTTTGATCTATAAATATTTCTAACAAATCATCAATACCAACTTTGGCATCAAGGTATTTATTAGCCTTGCTTCTCTCCATCGTTTTCATAAGCATTTGCCATTCAAATCTGCCCCCTGCTGTTGATTCCATTCAGTCGATGTACAATCTTTACCCTCCACATCAATGGAAGTAACAACAGGTTCAGTAGGACCATCACCTTGCAGTGGTTCTGCAGTGACGATCTCTTCAAACATAACAACTTGAATACTTTTTGGATTTGAAGGCTTGGCCTTCACCTCATATTCTTTTTTCTCCTCCACTTCATGGTCCAAGTTACCATAAGCAATCTGATGGCAAGAATCCGATGTTTTTTCCTGTATAGAATACTTAAAGGAACTACCATTCACGCACTCCATCTTCATAAGACAGATTTGTTGGCATGAACGAATGCCTCTGAAGTTTTCCTATTTTGAATATCTGCATTTCCATCTTTTTGTTTGAGCTCAAAAAGGCTGATAGCATCTTGAACACTCATTTTCAGGTAGATGTTCCATTTCATCATCCCTACTCTCGGTTGGATCAACATCTCTATTAGTTATTGTTTTTTCTATGTTCAGAAAATAATCGAAGCTCTTAATGGTAATTATAACAGACCTACGAGAACCCAATCTACCTACCTTGATACGCCGCATTGGTGAAACATATCTTCTAGGTGTTGCAAATCATACAACTGGCCAACTTCTTACACCATTGGGGCTATCTCTATCACTTAAATCTGAGGAATCCTCACTCTTTGATGAGTTATGCGACTTAGCTTGGGCTACTTTAGTAGAAGAAACGATGGCTATTACGTGATTAACTACATCATATTTTGCACTAAGGAGAGAAAACTTTCCTTTTGCAGCTTGGTTAATATTTCTTGAATCATTCAAGGATGTCTACTGCATCTTTGCAGTGTCGACGTGAATGTTATTTGTGCACAACTCTAGAAACTCAAAAAATAAGTTGTTTAATTCCGCTGCTCCAAAATGTTGAGATGCTAAATTAGAAATATGGTTGGTACAACAATTAGCACCCGCAGTATGATTAAAAGAAGCAACTAGCTCTTCCTTGAAGGCAGTGAATCTCAATTCCATTATTCTATAGCCCGCAACAATTCATTCTTTATAAATTCAGGAGATAGTGATAACCTCTTATTTATGGACAAATAATCCCTTTCACGTTCCTTCTCTCGTTCCCTCTCCCACAACATATCCCAACGGCGCTCCTCTTCACGCATATCAAGTTCTTGACAAAAAGCATTTTTATCATCCTTTCGTTCAGCAATTGTTGGGACTCCAATATTTAGATGGTCATGTGGAAAAATGCTCCCTTGGTAGTCAGTTCCAGCATACCCATGAAGGCCTTTCCTCGACATATAATCACGCCATAGGGGTAAACTCACACCATAAGCAATATTTGAACCTTGAGTATAGATGAGATCATCAATATTCTGCCTTGGAGCTCCTAAAACTGAAGCTAAATATAATGTACCATGCTGAGAACTGCCAAGAATGAGTAAAGTATGTGGATCTACATCCATTATTCCACCATATGAACTAAATTCTTGAGAACCAGGTGAATAGGTGCAGCTCTTGCTGTAAGATATTCAGTTTGTTTCACATCAAAACTAAGATGCAGTGACCCTAGGATCACCACCGCTCCAATAGCTTCCTCCTCCTCCAGTGTAACAGTTGTTGTGATCCTTCCATATTTCCCCTTATGTAGGGGGGGTGTGAATCCAACCTTTCTTGCCTCACATGACCCGATCCTGATGGTTTAGCCCGTCCCCCTTTTCTCTGGTCGTCCACTCCCCTTACCCAAAAGGCATCCCATAGTGGTCGACCACTCCATCACCTCCACCATAAAACTCTCTTCTTGTTGTCCCTCCATCCGGAACCCCTAATTCACCCCTTATCGGAGCTAGGGGTGTCAATTCAGGTCAACGGGTTGGGTTCGGGTCGAACTCAAAACTAACCCGGCAGTGTTCGGGTCAACCCGAACCCGACCCGTTTTTAAAAACGGGTCAGGTTTCCGGACCCGAACCCGAACCCGTTTCGGGTCCGGGTCAACCCAACCCGAACCCGTTTCGGGTCCGGGTCAACCCAACCCGACACGAATGACCCGAAGTTGACCTAAAATTGCTAGTTTTCGAGTCAAAATCGGGTCATTCTTCGATTTTCGGGTCAAAATCAGGTAAAAAATGGGTAAAACTCGGGTTTCCGACTCAAATAGGAGTTTTCGTGTCAATTTAGGGTCATTTTCGGGTTGCTGAGTCAACCCGAACCAGACCAGATTTTTAAAACGGGTTGATTTGTTGAACCCGACCCGTTTCGGGTCCGGGTTGACCCGAGCCCGGATTTTTTCCGGGTCGGGTTCGGGTCGTGTCAAAAATTGACACCCCTAATCGGAGCCCTAGTAGGTAGTTTATGATGAAAGAAACTCTCCTTATCGAACTCTTCCCATCAGATTTATTTTCCCTTAGATTCAGCAAAAGGGAATCTCGGTCGATTACGGGTTATGGTTAGCAATTGGAACCACCGGTGGAGTTTGGATTGCATCTTCATGAACATAATGGCATATCTCTGATACCGATTTGATGTGTTTGAAAGTAAAAAACAATAAATAAAAGAGAAGAAGAACATAGGAACACAAAGATAAGGCTAATTTTCTTATTTACCCTTCAATAAAAAAGCAATATACAATTGATCTACTATTTGAGAGGTAGATCAGCTCTCCCACAAACCCTAAGCGTCGTTAGGAACTCACAACAAACAATAGGAAAATAAACTCAGCTATATCATACCATAAATTAACTTTCACATGAACCCCTCAAAATCCCCTCATTACCCCTAGGGCAAACACCACAACCTTTCTCTTCAATTTGGTGGGCCCAAGGGGCCCACCCGAGAGCTTTCCCCCCTTAGCTTGTCCGCCCAGGCAGGCGGGTTCTCCGCCTGCAGTAAGTGAGAACCGGCCCTTTAAGGGCCGGTGTTGCTATGGACTGAACCGGTCCATCAAAATCATAGACAAACTCCCTCTTAAATAGCCCTAGAATACAATAACATAATTAGAACATTTCTAATCAACATAAACATAATTTAGGAAACCTTCATAAACAATTAAACATGATTTAGAAAACCTTCCTAAACAATTAAACATATTTTAGGAAACCTTCCTAAACAATTAAACACTTCCTAAATAGTATAAACACAATTAGGAAATTTTTCTAAACAACTACCATTTGATTAGGAATCTTCCTAAACAATTCCCCATTAATCAGGAAACTTCCTAAACAACTTCCTCTTAATTAGAAACCTTCCTGAACAACTCCCCTTTAATTCCTTAAATATTAAATAATAGCTCCCCGGCCTAGCTATGGCCCCCCCGGCGCATCAAAAACTCACGGCAAGTAAGATTAAAAAGAAACTTAAAAGAAGAAACAAAGTTATACCACTTTCTAAAATGTGTTAATGCCTCTCACACTCATTATTAAATTCTACTCTAGCATGTGCAGGTACTACTTGCACTAAAAAGCAACAAAGCGAGACATATCATGTCAAAATGGCTAAGGGATAATGGAATTTTCACGTGGGAAGCATCTGAGTGGAATATGCTGGCACAAAAGATTCAGCAAGTTAGTCATAGTGAAACGAGCGCTAGAAATTGCTTTGAAGAATGCTCAGCAAGAACAGCAACAATATCAAGAAAAGGAAAGGATGTTTCTAAACATACCAGAATTCATAATCAGACAAGTTCAAATATTGTCATTGTGATTGAAACAAGCATATTAGACCAAAGTACCAACATATGGATTGACCAACTGAATTTCCTAGAACAATATCATGGAATTGTAAAATTTGCATGGATTTTAAGTCATGATACTTCTAACACCATAAAAGTAGAGCTGCGACAGAGAGGACATCATTTAATGGTCAACAAACCACTATACAAGACTAAGATGATAAACATTTTGCAAAATGCCACGACTGAGGCAAGTTTTGAAAACCAAACCATTGATGTGGAGAATGTGAGTCAGGAAGAGAGTATGCATGAGTGCCACGAAATAGATTCAATTAAGTTTGAAATGATCAGCTCAGACGAATCCAGCAATTCAGACACAGAAATGTTGGGCATTGGACAAAACGAATTTCCTGCAGAAACCAAAAATAATGTAGCAGTGAACCATCAATATTGTGAGTTATCAAACAGCGTGCAGGAACAAGAATGCCCAAAAATTTTACAAACAGATCTTGTGGATGCTTGTACTCCAAATAAAAATCACAAAGACTTGGAAAGAAATTACGAAGTAAAAGCTGGTCAACAAAACGTGGCTAAGTTATTGACATATTACTTCCATGATGCAGAAGTCTTTTCCGTGGGCAGACCAACAATAGATCTATATAAAGATGTCATTGTGGACAAAGATCAGCTAATCTCCGGAAAAGATGATGTCAGAAAGGAGAAATATCAAAGTCAAACAATGTCAAATATGCATGATGCCATAAACATGAAAAAAAAAACCTATGAGAAAGAAACTATATCAACAGCAATTACACTTTACAATCAGAAAAAAGAATACTGCAATCAAGGGAAGCAAGAACTAGACTCCATAGGTTCAAGAACCAACATGAATCAAGATATAAAATTTAGTAGTAGGAAAGCAGAAAACATGGTTCAGAATAAGATGGTTCCAGAGCAAAATTCTCTTGAAGGTCTCTGCATATTGCTTGCTGAAGATAACCAGATACTGCAGCTTGTTGCAACAAAAATGTTGGAAAAGGTGGGAGCCCAAGTTGTAGTTGTACATGACGGAATGCAAGCCGTTAATGCTGTAAGACCAATCTTCTGTACAGAAGAGTGTAAAAGAAGTTTTAATAGCTCCACTCAGGGTGATGGCGAAAAAATAGCAATGAAACCAACAAAGGATGATCCACCATTTGATCTGATTTTGATGGATTGCCAGGTAACTAGTCATGCCATAACAATTTCCAGCATGTTGTATTTTGCATGTTATGAATTTGGGGAACGTCAAATTAGTCTTATTTAGTTATCTTATAAATCATAATTCAAGAAAGTAGAGAAAAGGACATGGAGCCTCAAGCCAAATCGTTGGGAAAAAACTCATGATTATATAGTACTTTGTTCGATAATCAATAGCCACATATTTCACCTATGAGTGAAGGAAAGAATTTGCACAGAGCTTCGTGGCACCCATATTATTGAAATAGATTATCAGGGCCTAAGAAAGGTGGATGTCAGGTTTGGGGACTAGAGAGTAGAACTAGCATAGCACAAAGATTGTGTGTGTAATAGAATAGTATTTAACCTCGATGTAGAAGCGAAATTTGGCACTTTGTTTCGTGGCGCTCAAAGAGAAGGATTTCAGTGAATATATAAGATATTGGTACTTTTAGAGATGAATTATCTTTATTGTATATTCATTCTTTATCAAAGAATGTATGAAGTTAAAGTGGCGAGTCATGATGAAGGAGAATGCTTTAATTGATAGTGCTGCATAGAAAGAACAATAGCCATTTCATTGCAATCCAGTGATTAGCCATGGGGTAAACTGAGATAATTTTTTAGCCAAAAAAGCTAAAATTTGGGTGTGTTCAAACTAAGTATCGTATATTGCCCATAATAGTTTTGTAATTTGTCAGATTTGTAAGTATAGAGTCAGAGTGGATAGAGAATGTTGATGAGGTAACAAGCGGTGCAATCACAATAGTGGCATCTGTCATCTAAGTGCAAACAAGAATGTCAAGGATATATCAATATTAAGATTAGTTTAGTCCATGTGAGTGTAGAACAACTTCCGCAACAACAACAACAACAACATCAAGTCTTTGTCCCACTACATGGGGTCGGCTACATGAATCCTTTTTCGCCATTGTGTCATGTTAAAAATCAATTTCTCATTTAAATCTAATAAAAAAATATCATTTCTAATATTTTCTAACCAAGTCTTTTTAGGTCAACCTCTACCTTTCTTAACATAACTAAAATCTAATACCTCAACTTTCCTAACCGGTCATCGAAAGGCCTCCGTTTAATGTGACTAAACCATCTAAAACGACTCTCTCTAATCTTATCTTCCACTGGAGCTACTCCACCTTTTCACATATATGCTCATTTCGTATACTATCTCTAAGGGTAAAGCCATACATCCACCTAAGCATCCTCATCTCTGCAACACTTAACTTAGTATTATGCTTCTCTTTTAATGGCCAACATTCGGCACCATAAAGCATTGCAGGTCTCGTCACCATCTTATAGAATTTTCCCTTTAAGTTTGAGGGGGACTTTTCTATCGCACAACAAGCCCGATGTATTCCGTCCGTTGTGTGATGCAAAATGTTGGCCATTAAAGGACAAGCATAAAATTAAGTTAAATGTTTCAGAGATGAGGATGCTTGGTTGGAATGGTGGCATTACACTTAGAGATAGAATTCGAAATGTGTATATATGTGAAAAGGTTCGAGTAGCTCCAGTGAAAATTAAGATTACAGAGAGTTGCCTTAGATGATTTGGTCACAAAAATGTTGGCCTCCCGATGACCCTATTAGGAAAGTAGATGTATTAGAGTCACCCTGTATTAAGAAATGCAAAGTTAGACCTAAGTAGAGTTGATTAGAAATTATTAAAAATGATTTTTTTTTAATTATATTGAAATGAGAATTTGACTCCTAATATGACCCAATGAAGAAAAATGAATCATGTAGCTGACCCCACATAATGGGATGAAGGGTTATTGTTAATGTTGTTGTTGTTGTTTCCTTACAAGTAAACAATCAGTGTAAGAATTGGAACCCAACAAATAATGAAATGAACTACTAAATTTGAAGAAATCAACAAGTTAAAACCACGTAACATAAAAAAGTAAATGTAACTTGATTCTCATAAATAAAATTTAACTTGTGCCAAATTGAACAAAATCAAGAGCACTAACAAGTGAATATCAAAGTTATAAAAGAAATAAGAATAGACAAGAAAGTGCCCAAAGAAGAAAAATCAAGACTTGCACTAGCATGAAGAGTGATTTCCACCAAAATTAGGTAGTTGCACTTATGCAACACCCCCGAAGGAATCATATCAACTTGCGTTCGTAAGAATTAAAAACTAGAAAGAGAAATTTTATTCAGCCAAAATTCTGAAACTATATTTCTTAAAATATCTATTCAAGTGCTTATGTTCCTCAAGTATGTTTGGATATGAGTTCAAAATTAAATTTTTGTAATGACTTAGAAGAATTAATATAAAAGATACCTCTTGAAGAAAGAGTTTTTATTGAAGGAGATTTAAATGGACATGTTGGTAGAAAGGTTGATGATTTTAAAAGCATTCATGATGGCCATAGGTTTGGAACGACAAATGAAGGTGGCAATATCATATTAGATTTTTATTTGGATTATGATTTTTTAATTGCTAATACCTTATTTAAGAAAAGGAATGAGCATCTCATCACTTATAAAAATGGATATAGTACAACTCGGATTGACTATTTTCTTATAAGAAAATTAGATCGTTTAGATTGCAAAGATTGTAAAGTTATTATGAGTGAAAATTTATGTATCCAACATCGATTATTAGTTTTTGACTTTTTAAGATAAAGGGACAGAAAATAAAAAAATAAAGTAAAACGATATTCTAGGATTAGATGGATGCATTTAAAGAATATTAACAAAAATATTTTTGAGAGTAAGATTTTAGATCTTAAGATTTTGTCGGTGCAAGAGGATGCTAATGTTATGTGAGAAAAAGTGTCTAGTGATGTTAAGAATATTGCAAAAGATGTGCTTGAAGTGTCAAAAGGAAAAGCTCTTAATAGTAAAAATGGTTGGTGGTGGAATCCAAATGTGCAAGAAAAAATTAAAAATAAGAATATTTGTTATAAAAATTGATTCAATTGTAATAACTCTGATAATTGGGAAATATATAAAGATGCTTGTAAGGAATCTAAGAAAGTAATATGTGATGCAAAGGCCTTAGCTTTTAGTGATTTATATAATAGATTAAATATTAAGGAGGGAGAAAGATATATGTATAAGTTAGCCAAACAAAGAGATAGAAGTAGTAAGGATTTATTTCAAGTGAAGTGTATTAAGGATGAAGATCAAAAAATTCTTTTCTTAAAAGATGATATTCAACAAAGGTGGATGAGATATTTTGCTAAACTTTTTAATGAACATTGTGAAAATAAGATTGACTGTAGTGACCTTAGCATCCTAAATAAAAATATAAATTTATGTTTTTATCGGCGTATTATTAAAACAGAAATTAGAGAGACTTTAAAGAAAATGAATGGTGGAAAAGCTGTTGAACCTAATGATATTCCAATAGAGGTCTGGAAATGCTTAGGAGATGAAGGAATTTCTTGGCTTACTAAACTTTTTAATACTATTTTGAAGACTAAAAAGATGCCAGATGAGTGGAGAACGAGTGTCTTAATTCCTATTTTTAAGAATAAAGGTGATGCACAAGATTGTGCGAATTATAGAGGTATTAAGTTAATGTGTCATACTTTAAAACTATGAGAGCGAGTTATAGAGCATAAGTTGCAGCATGATACAAATGTTTCTCAAAATCAATTTGGGTTCATACCGGGTAGGTTGACTATGGAAGTCATACATTTATTAAGAGGTTTGACGGAGAAATATAGAGAAAATAAGGAGGATCTACATATGATATTTATTGGTTTAGAAAAAGCATATGATAAAGTTTCAAGAGAAGTGTTATGGAGAGTTCTTGAAAAGAAAGGAGTCAATAATGCTTATATTCAAATCATTAAAGATATGTATGCAAGAGCTATTACTTGTGTTCAAACACAAGGTGGATTGACCAGTTGGATGGTTGAAGTAGAGAAATGCATCGGGCTTGTTGTGTGATAGAAAAGTACCCCTCAAACTTAAGGGACAATTCTATAAGATGGTGGTGAGGCCTGTAATGCTTTATGGTGCTGAATGTTGGCCATTAAAAGAGAAGCATAATACTAAGTTAAGTATGACAGAGATGAGTATGCTCAGGTGGATGAGTGGATTTACAGTTCGAGATAGGATACAAAATGAGCATATAGGTGAAAAGGTTGGAGTAGCTCCAGTAGAAGATAAGATTAGAGAGAGTCACCTTAAATGGTTTGGTCACATAAAACAGCGGCCTTCTGATGATCTGGTTAGGAAAGTAAAGATATCATACTTGACTTATGTTAAGAAAGGTAGAGGCAGACCTAAAAAGACTTGGTTCGAAAATATTAGAAATGATCTTTCTTTATTAGATTTAAACGAGAATTTGACTTTTAATATGACATAATTGAGAAAAAGGATTCATGTAGCCAACCACACGTAGTTGGATAAAGGCTTGATGTTGTTATTGTAGACTCCTAACCCCAAAAGTTGGTAGATATGGTTGGTATAGATTCACTTCAATTCATGTTTAAATTAAATCCCAAAACATAACAACAAATCATCTTTTAATTTCAAATTCCATAGAATTGTATCCATATAGTTGAAACAACAAGCACTTAAGTCGAATATTGGATGCCTTTCAAACCTAAAGCCAAGAAGTAGTGCAAAACCCGCTCACAATAAGAGGAATACTTATAGAGTTCCAAAACAGGAGAAAAAAATTGGAATCTAAATCACCTCATTAACCCAATTCAAGAGGATATAAATCTAGAACTCACTACCTAACTTAGAATAGATAAGGCCAAAATCCATAACTTAGCTTATATCAAAGAGAATAGGAAACCTCAAATAACAGGCAGGCAATCTGCATATTCAGATGAGTCTAAAATCCACCACCTAAAAACCACAATTGCCATTAAACTCCTTATAATTACTTCCTTTACAAAATACCAAATTTCATTGCCCATGAAGAGGAAAAATTAAGCCGTATACACAACCGCAATTTCCTACAAACCCACAACCCTCTGAATAACAATCAAACCTACAACCCTTCTAAATGAAAATTATTGGTTCTATTTGTAAAGTGCTAGGATGATGTCCAACTACAATGGTAATTGACGAATATTCGTTTCCATTTTAACATTTCAAATTGCCTTCCATAATGGCTTTTGATTGAATGTAAATCAAGATGAGCATTGAATGCCCATTATTACCAAATTGAAATTTATTACACGAAAATCACTTTGTACAAGTAGTAAAAGTTAGACAAATTCCAAAGTTAACAAAGTACATTAAATTAATGTAGGAGACTATAGTTAATTATTCTTCATAACCAAAACTTAACTCAAAAACAACTTTAATTTCATGCACATGTCATCATTTCTCAAAAGAATTAATGGTAACAACTAGATTAATCCACTTAGGCTAAAAGGCTTGCATCTAAGATGTTCAGCCTCAAGTGATGTCTAATCTCATGCTGCAGGGAAATTATTCAAAGAAATAGAAATAGCATGAAACGATAAGAAAAATGAATTAATAGTACATCAAAGTAGCAACCAATTAAAGACAACAAAGTAGCAACCAATTAAAGACAACAACAAATGAATTTTTCATTGCCTTGAAACCCTAATATTAAAATCTAAATATTTTTTTTTTCTTCTGCAGATGCCTAATCTGGATGGCTATGAGGCAACAAAAGCGATTAGAAAACTGGAGGCTGGAACAGGCTCTCATATTCCAATTGTTGCAGTGACGGCTCATGCAATGTCATCTGATGAAGCCAAATGTTTGGAGGTAGGGATGGATGCATATCTAGCAAAACCAATCGACAGCAAATTGATGATATCTATCATTATTTCTCTTACCAAGAGAAACAGTTAGCCCTTTAAATCAAGAAAAATGGAAGCCCAATTATTTAGAGATGTTAAGAAGACAATTTTTCAGCCTACGCTAACATAAGAAAAATCAATTCTATGGATATTATGATTACTTATTGATGCAGCGGCAAAACACGAAGAAGACACTGAAAAGGAAAATGCAATGGAACAGTGGAGTTCCCTGCAGGTAACTTGTATTACTTAGCTGAAAAATTAACAAGGTGTCCATCTTCTCTCTTCTACCAAGCTTTAACGAAAAGATTAAACTAACGAAACTAAAAATAGAGGGACAGCTGGAAAGTAAATACTAGTCCTATGCATAACAGAAAGGGAAATCCTCAGGGAATAACAAGTAGTAGTAGTCCTACCATTTGGTTGGGGATTTTGGTGTATACTATCTGGAATGGACAAATCCCGGTGGACCGATTGAAGGAAGCATTATAAGCGAACTCCGCATGACAAAGCACTTCTTCCCATTTCTTGTGATTTTCTTGCACCAAACATCGCAACATGTTGCCCAATGTGCGATTGACCACTTCCGTCTGGCCATCTGTTTGTGGATGATACGCCGAACTGAGCTTGATGTTGGTATTGAGCCTCTTCCATAACTCTCGCCAGAAATGGCTCACAAATTTCACGTCTCGGTCGGAAGTGAGGCTGCGTGGTACCCCATGGAGACGAACTATTTCTTTGAAGAAAAGTTGAGCTATATTGACCGCATCGAAGGTTCGCTTGCATGGAACGAAGTGTGCCATCTTCGAGAAGCGGTCGACTACCACCATAATCGAGTCGGATCCTCGCTTGGTCCTGGGTAAACCCAACACAAAATCAAGCGACAAATCTTCCCATATAGAATCCGGAACGGGTAGGGGAAGATACAAGCCCGTATTCTGGGCGGTACCCTTGAATCGCTGGAAAATGAAACATTTCTGAACAAATCGCGTAACATCACGCCGTGAGTGAGGCCAAAAGAAGCGCGATTGTAGAAGTTCGACGGTCTTATCCCTACCCAAGTGGGCGGACAGTCCACCGCAATGTAATTCCCTGATTAATTGCGGTCGCCAGGAGGAGTCCAGGATGCACAAGTTGTTACCTTTGAATAAGAAACCCTGCTGTAAGGTATAATCAAGTTTCGGTTGTCCCGCCTTGCACATTTCCCATATCTTGCAAAAATCAGTGTCCGCGGCATATAACTCCTGTAAGGTCTGCAGCCCCGTGATCTCCGTTTGCAGGCGGACCAAGAGGGCGGAACGACGACTTAAAGCATCGGCGACTCTGTTAATCCTCCCAGCCTTATGTTTGATCACAAAACTGAATCGCTGAAAAAAGACTATCCAGCGGGCGTGCATCCTGTTAACGTTTTTCTGACTGTTAATATATTGCAGGGCGTGGTTGTCGCTACACAAAACAAAATCTCTGTGCAATAGATAATGCTCCCATTGTTTAAGCTCACGTACGACGGCGTATAATTCCTGTTCATATGCCGACCACTTCTGACGTGCGGCACTTAATTTTTCACTGAAGTACTCCACCGGTTTTCCGTCTTGGGACAAAACAGCTCCGACTCCGATGGCGGACGCATCCGTGTCTACTTGAAAGGCTTTGTCGAAATCGGGGAAGGCTAAAACTGGCGCTGAACTTAAAGCTGCCTTTATCAACTCAAAACTATGCTGTTGTTCCCGCCCCCAAGAAAATTTTGAAGACTTAAGACAGTTGGTGATGGGTGCCGTGATCTCCCCAAATCCTTTTATGAAACGCCTATAGTAATTGGCCAAGCCATGGAAGCTCCTCACATCCGTGATGGACTTGGGTGTCGGCCAGTTTTGAATGGTCGAAATCTTCTGAGGTGAGGTGTGTATCCCTTCAGTGGATAATACGAACCCCAAAAATTGAATCTTAGGCGCGGCAAACTCGCACTTATCCAGATTGATAAGCAATTGGTGGTTGCGTAATGTTCCGAAGATGGCCTTTAGCTGATCTACATGCTCTACAAAAGATGAGTTGTAAACAAGTATATCATCGAAATATACAATACAACACTTATCTAAATAAGGCTTGAGGTCGTGCATTAGCCGCATGAATGTAGATGGAGCGTTGCAAAGCCCAAACGACATGACCCGCCATTTGAATAAGCCCTCGACTGTCTTGAAAGCGGTCTTCCATTCGTCTCCGGGACGAATGCGGATCTGATGATAACCACTCCGGAGATCTAATTTGGAGAAAACCGTGGCTCCCGCGAGCTTGTTCAAGAGGTCATTGATCCGGGGTATTGGGAACCTATATTTGACGGTGATGCGGTTTATCGCACGACTGTCAATGCACAGTCTCCATTTTCCGTCTTTCTTTGGAACAATGAGTGCCGGTACCGCACAAGGACTAAGACTTGGCTGTATGAACTGTTTTTGTAATAGCTCTTGGACAATCTGACCCAAGATCGCATGCTCCTTCGGACTCATTCGGTAGTGGGGAAGATTCGGTAACACTGCGCCGGGAACAAATTGATGCGGACATCCAACCGTCCATGCTAATCCGGGAGGAGCTGAAGATCGACGACCGAGATCACTTTGTTTTAATTTCGTTTATTAAGTGTATTTTAATTTAGTTTTGCAATTTTTCTTTTTACCCTCTTGTCTTATGTAAGCCCAAGGGGCGAATGTGTCTTTTAATTTCTCTTGAGACCTATATATAGAGGTCTCTTCTTTTGTATTTGGATGATGAATTATTAATTAAAAAAAAATTGCGTTTTGCACTTGGGTTCTTTGGGAAGAACGTTAGTGAAATCCCTATGGGAGGGAGTCGGAGTTTCCACCAGCTGCAGGATGGGTCCGGGCTCGTGGCGTGAAGTCCCTTGGAGAAGGGCAACGTAGTAATCGTCAGCCGCAGGATGTGTCCGGGCTCGCGGTTGTATCATTGATATTTTGTTTATTTGCTTTTGTTTCTTCTTATTGCTCTTCGTCGTTATCTTCATCTTCCTCCTCCCATCTTCGTTTTGGCCACGAGATCCCCCCATATTCGAACCCATGCCGCCGGCTCCACCCCATTAGCCGCCGGCCGAACCTCCCCTCTCTAAACCCCTCGGCCAAACCAACATACCAAGCTCCACCGCCGGCCACCATTGTTTGTATCCATGAATGAGGAGTCAATGCCACCATAATTCTTACTTAAAGAGTTTAAATAATTTAGGAAATTATTTTCATCATTTGAAATTCAAATTTTGAATTTCAAATATTTTCCTAAATTAAAAAGCTATTTTAGGAAAGTATTGAGTCTCATTCATGACATAATTCAAATTTAATTTGAGCTCCTACCCGTTCTACATCACAAATTCGATATGATGCTGAAGTGTCCGAAGGGGAGGTAGTGACGGCTGCAATTCTGGCGCAGTAACATCATTGAATTCTTGAAGTAGAGCTTGAATGGTTGGATGGATCACATTATTCTCTTCCAACCCGGGGCCCTGCGCCACCAAGGCCAGCAAGGAATGAAAGCCTTCTTGGTCCCTCAAGAGAGCTTGACCGGACACAATCCTGGCGGAGATGAGGCTGTGAGTAGCTAACGGCGAGGGTGTTGCAGCACTAGCAGGTAAGAGTTTAATCCGTTTCCCTTTCCACTCAAGGCTATAAGTGTTGGCTCGCCCGTCGTGCACGGCCCCATTGTCGTATTGCCACGGCCTTCCCAAAATTAGGTTGCAGACATCCATGTCTAGGACATCGCAAGTGACTTGACACAAATAACTTTTGCCAATTGAGAAGGTCACCTTGCACAGCTCAGTTACTGTAAATTCTGATCCCTTCTTAATCCATCCAATTTTATATGGATTTGGGTTTTTTGAAACTTTGAGCTGCAGGGCTTGTACCACCCCCTTGGATATAATATTTTCTGTACACCCGCTGTCGATCACAACATCACACACTTTTCCACTGATTGTGCATTTAGAACGAAAAAGGCTATGTCGTTGATTAACAATGGGTTTCCGTGGGGCAATGAGCAGCTTTTCCACCACGCAAAGCACTGGCTCTCCGGTATCTGCTTCAATCTCTTCGCAACCCTCGTCACCCTCCAATGCATTTTCTTCCAGCTCTCCACCTTCGTCTCCTTCAATAAGCTGAGCCTGATGTCGAGTGGGGCATTCATTAGATTTATGACCAGGTTGTAGACATCGAAAGCATTTGATGTTTGACGGTTTGGCATAAGGGTTCTCACGACCTCCTGTCGTCCGCGGTCAGAATGGTAGTTTGTCTTCTGTAGGCAACTTCACTTCTGCGGATCTCGGTGGATTGGAGCTGGACGGAAGGTCCTTTGCTTGCATTCCTCCCGTCTTATAATTGCCAGAATTAACTTCCGGGAATGTCCTCCGTGCGGCATTCAATTTATAGCCCTTTTGCAGTTGGACTTCAGCCTTAAGAGCGAAATTCACAGCCTGGGAAAGAGTCCAAACCGAATTGAGCTCTAACTTATCCCGAATTCCTTCTTTCATACCGCCGATGTACCTTGCCACCAATTGGTTTTCAGATTCCAAGAGGTTGTTGCGAGCACTAAGCCTATAAAATTCCTCGGTATATTCACTGATCGAGCGATTACCCTGCTGACAGTGTTGGTATTGAATGTACAGGTGCTGCTCGTAATCCGTGGGTAAAGAATGTTGCCTCATTAATTGCTTCATGCGACTCCAACTTCGCACCGCCACTCTTCCTTCCCTCCTGCGACTTTGAAGAACTTGCATCCACCACGTGCTAGCTCCTCCTTTTAGTCGGCATGCTACGTACTTGACTTGTTTGGCCGGCGGAATGTCCAAATACTCGAAGAAATTTTCGACCGCCGCCTCCCAATCTAAATAATCTTCTATATGCAACCTCCCTTCAAAAAAAGGAATGTCAAGTTTAATGCGCATACCTTCATGTTCTGTTCTCATTGGGCGTGGTCTTCTCAACCTCTCCGCTCTGGGTTGTAGATGCTCCTCCTCTGCATCCGACGGTTCTTCCTCCGAAATGGCGTCAAGCTCTGAATCCGTGACTTCTGGGCAAGGAGGAGGACGCCGAATCGGAACGTGTTCTCCCCGTAAAACTCGCCTGTGTGCCGGTATGGTTGCCGGGATTGCCGGGTGCACTACTGGATTGGTAGCTATCCGGACTTGGCGCATTTCATCGCGCATTTCATCCGCGAATCTTGCAAAGTTATTAATGAGCTCCTCCAATTGCTTGGAGGTTTGCTTTTGCATTTCCCACAACGCCTCCAGGCTCCGATCGTCGTCCGCCCTGGGTCAGCTACTCTCCGCCATTGTTGCTGACACTGGATCTGATACCAAAAGAGATGATGCAGCGACAAAACACGAAGAAGACACCGAAAAGGAA